ACAGATCAGATGCTGCTGCTGTCGTGGCTGCCACCACAAGAAACAAGAGTGTTGGAGTGCAAATTCATTATCCAGCTGTTAAGAGCGACAGAGCATGCACGCATCTCTCCCCGACCGGGGTGTCTGAGAGCCAGCCCTGCTGTATGATTGAGTGGCTGCCAGCCTCCTCTTCTCTGTAACCTTGACACGCCGGAGCCGGGCCTCCTGTGCACAGGCTAAAAATCCTAAAGGCAACTGTGGCGGCAACAAATAGATGGGTTAATTTGTTTCATGCCCCTGTCGTCACCAGGCTCTCACAGAAAAAAACCACCACCACCACCACCACAACCTCCATGTGTGGGGTTTCATACCCCAGCTGCCGGGAATCAGATTCAGCGGGAGGAAGAAAATGTGACGTCGATGCAGAGATCCATTTATTTGGTGATGTTTGCTTAAAAACCGGTTTTTCATCTGCAGGTTATTCTTGCACGCTTGGACCTCAAGCAACACAATATCACATTTCCAGGTGGTATCTTTAAGGAAAGCTAATTAAGACTCTTGGCACTTGTAGCATGAAACATTTTACAATTTTCTTCAAAGCAATTTGCCAACATTAGCTAATTAAAACACCCAGCCTTCCATTGAGGGACAATGGGAAGAGCGTACAGTCGTCATTTCTGAGCATCTGTTGTACAGATAGAAATCCAAATTCCTTTTGCTTCTACTTGGTCAAGGTCCTTCTCTGAAGGTGGCCTTTGATGGTTTTTCCGCACCCTGCCTGGGAGCATTTAGAAGAAGATTCCAGCTTTTCTAGCACTTAGACTCTAAAATAAAGAACAACACAGGGAAAGGAGTTTGAGCAATGGAGGCTGGTCTGCTAAGCCAGGGGTTGGCAAACTATGGCCCAAGGGCTGAATCCAGCCCTTGACCTGTCTTTGTAAATAAAGTTTTATTGGAATACAGCCATGCTCATTGGTTTACATATTGTTTCTGGCTATTCTCAAGCTAAAACAGCAGGGTTAAGTGACGGCAAGAGAAAGTATAAGGCCTAGAAAGCTGGAAATATTTTTACTGTCTGGCCTTTTACGAAAACAGTTTGCAGACCTCTGCATTCAGCGGTCTGTTCGCATCTGTCTATGATGTTCCCGCTCTGCAGGCCAAACTACCCCATTCCCAGTTGCTGATCGGACAGCTCTTCTCCCATGGTGTCATTACTGTTATTAGGTCTAGGCCCCAAACGAAGGTCTCCAAAGAAGTATCTCTGGTCGGTAGAAAGGATTTTGTTTCTTTAGATAAAGATGGGGCCGCTCTATGTCAATCAGGCCTATCATGAACTCCTGGCCTCAAGCAATCCTCCCATCTCGGCCTCCCAAAGTGTTAAGATCATAGGCTTGAGCCACCATGCCCGGCCCAGTAGAAAGCTTATTCAAGGAAAGGGACTTTGAATTTAATCTCTCAGTATAAAAGATAATTTGACAATGTCAAAACCCAATAGAGGCCAAGCGCAGTGGCTCACACCTGTAATCCCAGCGCTTTGGGAGGCCAAGGCAGGTGGATCGCCTGAGGTCAGGAGTTCAAGACCAGCCTGGCCAACATGGTGAAACTCTATCTCTACTAAAAATACAAAAGTTAGCTGGGCGTGGTGGCACGCGTCTGTAATCCCAGCTACTTGGGAGGCTGAGGCAGGAAAATCACTTGAACCAGGGAGACAGAGGTTACAGTGAGCCAAGATCACACCACTGCACTCCAGCCTGGCAACAGAGTGAGACTCCGTCTCAAAACAAAACAAAACCCAGTAGAATCTTTCTCTCATTTTACTCCATTTTCCTAAGGATTGCAAGGTCAGCCTTCTGTTGCAGTTCATCCAAAACATTTTCCCTTCTCCAGCCGCCACCACCCCATTTGGAGATTCCATGTTGGGGAATTCGTTCCCCTTTTTTGAGCCCTGACTTCCGGGTGGTTCAAGGAAGAGCCTTCAACTGAAGCCCATGGTCACCTGGATGCCTAGGACTAGGGAGTGAGAGTCCAGGGCTCAGGGGCCAGGATGTAATTAATTTAACCTGGGTCCTGGGATGTCTGAAGGCAAGACCAATGTGACTTGTCGCTTCAGGGTTGGCAGAGACATTTCTAGATACCCCTTACCTTCTCCCCCATCTTCCTTAGCATATCCTTATCTGAAGGCAAACCTTTATCTGATGCATTGTTTATATGGAGTAGGTTGAAGAAACCTCATTCATCCAGGAGAAATTCCTTTCAAAGGGTGCAGTAAAAACCCTGCAGGTGGTATACCCCCAGAGACACCCCCGCAATAAGGCCACTCTGCAAATCGGGGCCTTCAAGAATGAGTTGGTGAAGGCAGGGTTGGGGACAACCAGATAGAGAGGAGAGAGACACCCTCCCTACAGCCACGGCAGCCACAGCCATCCCGGAATTAGTTCCAGGCTAGTGTGTGTGTCCCACTGATTCATGAATGGCATGTGCAGGATTAGGATCTTGCAGTGCAGGACAGAATGGGCTTGTGTGGAATCTAACTTACAGAGGACATCTAAATAGGGATTTTAGCTTAGTTCAAACCCCACTATATTTTTGAGCTCACTCAGCCACACTGCCCACTAGAAGATTCTGGGAGCAAAAGGACTCAGTAGAAAGCGTTTTTCCTAGTCTGAGGGTTACCAAATCATACTTTCTTGGGTTAGAAGAGAAACTGAAACAAAGTTGTACACAGTGTGAGCAAAAAACTTTACATATATCATCTTTTTTTTTTCTTTTTCTTAAAGACAGAGTCTCGCTCTGTTGCCCAGGCTGGAGTGCAGTGGCATGATCTCGGCTTACTGCAACCTCTGCCTCCCAGGTTCAAGCAATTATCATGCCTCAGCCTCCCCAGTAGCTGAGACTACAGGCATGCACCAACACTCCCAGCTAATTTTTTTGTATTTTTAGGAGAAACAGGGTTTTGTCATGTTGGCCAGGCTGGTCTCAAACACCTGACCTCAAGTGATCTGCCCTCCTCGGGCTCCCAAAGTGCTGGGATTACAGATATGAGCCACCACACCCAGCCTACATATGTTATCTTTTTAATCTCCCCAGTAAACCTGTGGGGAGGGTATTATGATGCATCTTGCCAATTTCACAAATAAGAATACCGTGCTTCAGAAGTATTTAGAATTGGTGTAAAATTATGCCACGTGTAAGGGGCAGAGTTGGATGGAAGCCCAGGTCTCTCTGGCCGAGCCTACTGAGCTCTCTGTGCCGGGTGCCATTCTCCCATGCCACACATACAAGTGTATTCTTAGTATATTTCTTTCCTTTTCTTTTTCTTTTTCTTTTCTTTTTCTTTTTTTTTTTTTTTACTATGCTGCCCAGGCTGGTCTCAAACTCCTGGGCTCAAGTGATCCTCCCACCTCAGCCTCCCAAACTGCTGGGATACAGACATGAGCCACTGCACCTGGCCATCTTCGTATACTTCTTAGTATATTCAGAGTTGCACAGCCATTCTCACATCAACTCTAGAACATTTTCATTACCTCCCTGAAAGAAATCCCTTGGCAAATTTTCAGAATATAAAATAAATGTAAAAAACCTGAAAAAAAAAAAAAAAAAGAAATCCCATATCCATTAGCCATCGCTCCCCATTTCCCCCAGTCCCTTTAGCCCCAGGCAACCACTAATCTACTTTCTATCTCTACAGATGTGCCTATATTCTGATGTGCCATTTCACATGCGTGGAATCATAGACAATGTGGCCTTTGTGACTAGCTTCTTGTTTAGGATTTAGCATCAGGCTGTCAAGGTTCATCCATGTTGTAGCATGGATCAGCACTTCCTTCCTCTTTGTGGCTGAGTAATATTCCACTGTATGGGTAAACCACATTTTGTTTATGGCTGAATAATATTCCACTGCATGGGTAGACCACATTTTGTTTAAATATTCCTTCGCTGATGAACATTTGGGCTATTTCTACCTTGTGGCTACTGGAATAGTGCTGTTGTAAATATTTGTGTACATGTTTTTCCGTACATTTTAGAAAATCACATTTTTGTGCCTTTTGTTAAAGACTGAAAGAAAAGTTATAAACACGTGCTCTCATTGAACAGCGTTACAAATATTTATTGAAACGACGGAGGCATTTAGGGCAGGGTAAAGCAGCTGGTTGTGGTAAAAAGAAAAGTGAGTCGAAAGTCAAGGTTGGGCACAGTGGCTCACGCCTGTGATCCCAGCACTTTGGGAGGCCGAGGAGGGGAGATTGTTTAAACCCAGGAGTTTGAGACCAGCCTGGCCAACATGGCGAAATCCTGTCTCTGCTAAAAATACAAATATTAGCTGGGTATGGTGGTGCATGCCTGTAGTCCCAGCTACCTGGGGGGCTGAGGCAGGAGGATCACTTGAACCTTGGGAGGTTGAGGCTGTAGTGAGCTGTGATCGCGCCACTGCACTCCAGCCTGGGCAATGGAATGAGACCCTGTCTCAAAATAAGCAATCCAAAAAAGTCAGCATACAGAATGATTGATCTTTTTGATTCATTCACCAAATACTTACTAAACTATTTCCCAAGCATAAGATAGTATCCTGGGTACTAATGATTTCACTCCCTGGCTAGTCTATCATTCCATTATTATTATTATTACTGTTGTTGTTATTATTATTATTACTATTATTATTATTTTGAGATGGAGATTCACTCTTTTCACCCAGGCTGGAGTGCAGTGGCATGATCTCTGCTCACTGCAACCTCCTCCTCCCGGGTTCAAACGATTCTCCTGTCTCAGCCTCCCGAGTAGCTGGGATTACAGGCGTGCACCACCGCGCCTGGCTAACTTTTGTATTTTTAGTAGAGACAAGGTTTCCCCATGTTGGTCAAGCTGGTCTCCAACTCCTGACCTCAAGTGATCTGCCCACCTTGGCCCCCCAAAGTGCCGGGATTACAGGCATGAGCAACTGCACCCGGCCTATCATTCCTTGAAAAATACAAAGTTGCTGCTGTTCTAGAAAACATTCAAAGGTCAATCATTTGTCTTTTCAGGGCCTTACTCTTCTCATCAGCAAGTGGGGACAGTGAATCGACCCGGAGGCCTGGGAGAGGCAGGAATAATGATGCACGAGAGAGAATTCTGGATTCGGGAGAATCAGAGGCTTAACGAATACAATGCTGACAATAGGAACATTATGATACAAGAAACTATTTGTATCCATCGTCCTTTCCTCACCTGAAATAACGTATGGATTCCTACTCAGTGATGACATTTTTCAGGCACCAAGAGTTGCCCATGGAACAAGAAGTACATAAACTTCCTTGCTTTGTAGAAAACAGATTCCGTTTTATAAGTAGTTTGATATTTCGACACTACCTCCAAAGATTGGGAAGACCCCTCACGAAGCAACAGGAGTCAGCCAGAAAGAAAAGAATCAGCCGAAGGCTGGGAAGCCGAGGCTGCAGTCAGCCGAGATCGCACCATTGCACTCCTGCCTGGGACGACAAAAGCGAGACTCCATCTCAAAAAAATTAAAATTAAAAATTAAAAATAAATAAAGGAATGATAGACTTGCCAATCTGCCTTGGAGAAGCAACAGATGGTTAAATCGTAGGGTTCCTGGCATTGCATTTGCCACATTTGCCAGCAGATGGCGACATGATCCTGCAATGTTGCATTAGTGCAACCCCGGGCAATGAAAGGTCAGGGACAGGGCACCTGAAGCTGGCTACTTGGAGACTTGTAAACCTCATCTATTGCTTTGCAGAGGTCTGAACACCACTGAACACATTTGTGAAGGAGGAACAGAGGAAGGTCGACCAATGATGGTTTTAAAACAGCTATAAGGATCGGATGAAATTTGCAATTGGCTTAAGCTTGAACTCCAGATAATCCCCCGAATAAAGACATGGGGGTGGGAGTTAAAACAAAGAACTTGATGCAAATTAGGGTCAAACAATGATCCCCTTATGGCACATCCATTCCAAGGAATATCTTCAGTCATTAAAAAACCAAGTGGTAGTCTGGGCGTGGTGGCTCATGCCTGTAATCCCAGTACTCTGAGAGGCTGAGGCAGGCAGATCACTTGAGGACAGTTCGAAACCAGCCTGGTCAACAAGGCAAAACCCCATCTTTACTAAAAATATGAAAATTAGCCAGGCGTGGTGGCATGCGCCTGTAATCCCAGCTACTCAGGAGGCTGAGGCAGGGGACTTGCTTGAACCCGGGAGGCGGAGGTTGCAGTGAGCCGAGATCACGACACTGCACTCCAGCCTGGGTGAAAAAGTGAGACTCCATCTCAAAAACAAACAAACAAAAAACCCCAAGTGGTATTAGATATGACACCAAAAGCACAATCAACAAAAGAGAAATTAGACAAATTCAGCTGGGCTCGGTGTCTCCCGCCTGTAATCCCAGCACTTTGAGAAGCCAAGGCAGGTGAATCACTTGAGACCAGGAGTTCAAGACCAGTCTGGCCAACATGGCAAAACCCCATCTTTACTAAAAATACAAAAATTAGCCGGGTGTGGTGCTGCACACCTGTAATCCCTGCTACTTGGGAGGCTGAGGCAGGAGAATCTCTTGAACCTGAGAGGTGGAGGTTGCAGTGAGCTGAGACCACACCACTGCACTCCAGCCTGGGCGACAGAGTGAGACTCTGTCTCAAAAAAAGAAAAAAAAAAAAGAAAAATTAGACGAATTGAACTTCAAAATTAAACTTCTGTGCTTCTAAGAACACCATCAAAAAAGTGAAAAAACAAACCACAGAAAGGGAGAAAATATTTGCAAATCTGATCTAGAATATATAAAGGATTCTAACAACTCAAAAACGAAAAGACATAAAAGCTAATTTTAAAATGGGCAAAGGATTTGGATACATCCCTCTCCAGAGAAGATACACAAATGGCCAATAAGCACACGAAAAGATGTTCAACATCATCAGCCATCAGAGATGTGCAAGTCAAAACCATCCTGCGACAGACCCCACTTCACATCCACCAGGATGGCTATAATTTTAAAAAGCAGACAATGACAAGTGTTGGCACGGATGTGATGAGGAATTGGAATCCTTGTACACTGTGGGTGGAAATGCAAAATGGTATAGCTGCTTTGGCAAACAGTCTAGTAGTTCCTCAAAAGGGGAAACACTGATCGAATTTGACCCAGCAATTCCACTCTTTCATATGCCCAAGAAAACTGAAAACATATGTCCACGAAAAACTTGGACATGAATTTTAAAGCAGCATTATTGGTCGGTGCAGTGGCTCATGCTTGTAATTCTAGCACTTTGGGAGGCCAAGGCGGGCAGATCACTTTAGGTCAGGAGTTCAAGACCAGCCTGGCCAACATGGCGAAACCCTGTCTTTACTAAAAAAATACAAAAATTAGCCAGGCATGGTGGCACATGCCTGTAATCCCAGCTCTTTGGGAGGCTGAGTCAAGAGATCACTTGAACCCAGGAGGCAGAGGTTGTAGTGAGCCAAGATTGCGCCACTGCACTCTAGCCTGGGCCACAGAGCAAGACTCTGTCTCAAAAAAAAAAAAAAAAAAGAAAAAGAAAAAGAAAAAACTCATTACGCATGAGAGCCAAAAGCAGAAACAACCCAGATGTCCGTCAACAGATGAAAATTTTAACAAATGTGGTATAGCCACACAATGGAATACACTATTCAGTCATACAAAGGAATGGAGTACCGGTCCATGCTACAACATGATTGAACCTTGAAAACATCATTTTAAGTGAAGGAAGCCAGACACAAAAGACTCCACTAAAAAGACCCTGTCTCCACTATAAATACAAAAATCAGCCAGGCGTGGTGGCATGTGCTTGTAGTCCCAGCTACTCGGGAGGCTGAGGCAGGAGAATCACCCAAACCCAGGAGGCGGAGGTTGCAGTGAGCCGAGATCGTGCCACTGCAATCCAGCCTGGCTGACAAGAGTGAAACTCCATCTCAATCAATCAATCAATCAATCAATAAAATTGATAGTGATAACGGTTGCACAACTCTGTGAATAAAGTCATTGACTCATACACTTCAAACGGGTGAATTATAAGGTAAGTAAATTATATCTCAATAAAGCTGTTACAAAAAAATCAAATGCTAGACTATTTAACATGGAAAACCATTCCCACTACATTGTTAGGTGAAAAAGAGAAAGAGAGAGAGAGAATGGAGCCCCGGGGCTGCTGGGTTCCATAGCTCCCTGTGAATGATGGCCCCTGGAGATGCAGAATGAAATGTGGGATTTCACCCCCTCCATGATCCATGCATGCTTGGTGGAAATTGACTCTGGCTGTCCAAGTCCACAGTGGTGTGCAACTCACTTTCTCTCCAACTCATCCTTCAAAGCCCCATTTAAGAGATATTTGGTTACAACATGGTAAAATATAATGGGATCCCAATTTCTGTTTCTATTAAATATATGAATATATAAGCACATGTGTGCATGAAAATAGATACACATCAAAGGGTAACAGTGGTTGCCTACAGGTAGAAAGGCTATGGAGCTTTTATTTTCTCCTTCATATTTGTATTGCTCTAATTTTCTATAATGCAATGTATTAATTTGCAATTAGAAAAATATATATGTGTATTTTAAAATGTATCTGTAACCCCAACACTTTGGGAGGCCAAGGTGGGCGGATTGCTTGAGTCCAGGAGTTCAAGACCAGTTTGAGCAACATGGTAAAACCCCATCTCTACAAAAATACAAAAAATTAGCCAGGCATAGTTGATGTGCACCTGTAGTCCCAGACACTCCGGAGGCTGAGCTGGGAGGATCGCTTGAGCCTGGGAGGTTGAGGCTGCAGCGAACCGTGATCACACCAGTGCACTCCAGCCTGGGTGACAGAGCAAGACTCTGTCTCAAAAAAAAAAAAAAAAAGATAAAAATAAAAACATATTGTTTTATTCTGTAAGGCTTCTCTGCCTGCCTCACTCACATAGTAACACTCCTTTTATCCTCACATTTATAACCCTATATAACGGGTAGTGGCATAATTGCTTATCACCTCCAACAGACATCTGACGACAGATATCATTCCTAATTTATCATTCCATCCAAAACCCAGAAATGCCTGCCTTTGATATGCTCAGTGAACATAGTACGCATTACCAAATACTAAGCAGTATCTTCTGTGTGAAGCCTACGTTAAATTTTTATTCAAGACTTTGTACCCTTTGAGGAGACAGTAATACAATCCCTTCAATGCTTTATATTATCATGTGAGATTACTTCCCTTTTTGCCCTTGCTGCCAGGAAGCTTACTTGCATCAACTGTGTTGCTGGCTTACAGATGCACGTCTGATTCTAAATTTCTTCCTTGAGTCTAATGTGTGGCATTTCCTCAACTTCTTTTTGAAAAGAAACAAGCTACAATCAGTGTAGCTCTATGCATGAGGTAGGAACAAATAAACAGTGGTTATGCTGTTGAGGATAAAACATTTTCTTTGGAAGTCCAAAGTGGTATTTTATCCTAAGAGGGATGGTAGCATCAACATCTAAGGGTGCTCAGGCACTATGTGTCCAGAACCAGAGGCTTGGAGCAATTCAATTTTAAACTCCGGAAGGGATGAAGCACCTGCCAGTACTGTCTACTCCCCAAGTACCTACACAGAGCCGGGCGAACAATAAGCACCCTTTAAATACATGCTGCATAAATGCTCAGGGCTCAGAATTCCGCATCCTTGCCATGCAAGGGGTCACAAAGTTTAACCCAGGGTTTCTCAGCCCTAGCACTTCTGACACTTGGGCCAGTGAGTTCTTTGTTGTAGGCCGGCTGTCCTGGGTGCTATGGGATGTTGAACAACATCCTCGGCCTGTACCCACCAGATGCCAGTAGCACCCCTGCACATAAACTTTTTGACAATCAAAAATGTCTTCAAACATTGCCAAATATCCCTGGGGACAAAATCTCCCTCTGGTTAAACAGCATGGGTTCTTGCCAGGTGTGGTGGCACGGGCCTGTAGTTCCAGCTACTTGGGAGGCAGAGGCAGGAGGATCACCTGAGATCAGGGATTGGAGACCAGCCTGGGCAACATAGCAAGACCCCATCTTCGAAAAAAAAAAATTTAAATATTAGTCAGGCATGGTGGCTCATGCCTATAGTCCCAGTTACTCAGGTGGCTAACATGGGAGGATCACTTGAGCCCAGGAGTTCGAGGCTGCAGTGAACGGCGATTGCGCCACTGCACTCCAGCCTGGGCCACAAAGCAAAACTTTGTTTAAAAAAAAAAAAGAAAAGAAACGAAGAAAGAAAAAAACAAAGAAAGAAACAAAAACAACAACAAAATGTCTTCAAACGTTGCTTGAAGTGGGTGGTGTAAAATCTCCCACTGGTTAAACAGCACTGGTTTCAAGCAACACCTTCCAGGTCCTGGAAGCCACCAACTACAATCCTAGAATACCAGGACTGGAAGAACCCCCATGCTTTATCCTGTTTACATCCTTTCACAGACAGGCCAGGGGGCCCAGAAATAAGAGAC